GCAACTCGTGATCCACTAGTTATACCGCAAATTAGTTACAAATCTCCCGTGATATATAGCGAACGATTCCACCCCCCCCCCCCCCCCCTCCCCGTCGACAGACCTCACGCCAAGCAAAACTCAAAAGTTGGCAGGTATGCGAAACTGACAGATGCTTGTAGCATCTTTTTCTTTAGGTATAAAGACTCCACCTGCTCTGCGCCATGCTCTAGGTACAACCTGTTTTTTTCCATGCCACTTTCATCAATTCCACAGAATTCGCAGAACTCCTAAAGCGCTCTTGTACACTCTGCACTGAACTCCATTAGGCCCTGGAGATGATGAAGCCTTTGCCTTTCTCACAGCCTGCTCTACCTCTTTCCACTTTGGTGCACAGACCTCCATTTGGTATTCTGGTGGGTTGATAGGTGGGATGTCTGATGGAATAGATATAGGCTCATGCCTTTTTGCATCTGTATGCGTTTCCTCCAAATCTCCCTCCTTTTTCCTTCCTTTTCTCCACAGCAAACCTCTCACTTCCATATGCATAAATGATGTCCCCAAATTTATCTAGCTTCTTTTCAACTGTACCAATTATTCTTTCCAAAGCAAAGCATAGATCTATGTTTACCGTGTCCCATGCAGTTTTCTCACATGCTCTTGGCCATCTAACTCCAGGCCTATGCCCGTTGAGGTTGTTTTCTATCTTATGCTGGTTAGTCTAACCGAGTTCACAAGTATGAATAATTTAATGAATCGACAGCCTACAGTCCACAAATCTTCAACATGTTTGCTCTCAAAAGTTCATTTGGATTGATCTATTTTTAGAGTGTAGACTGAAAATAAACACTGTTTTGTAAAAGATGTCACAGACAATAGCACAACAGGTATGGCTTCACACTAATTTCTATGGTAATTTCTATTTCTTATTGCCCAATAATAAGACCTTCTCTTCCTTCAGACTGATCGAAGAAGGTCTGGACCCCATCACAGCTTTCATTGGCAAGGCCCGCTTTAGAGGATGTCTGACCAACATGTAAAGCAACCGGTCACAGTTCTTTTTAGGGGTGTGAAAATATAAAGTTGACCATTTTCAGGTGGGCCGTTAAAGAAAGCGATTCAGATGATGACTTAGAAACTGAGGCTGAGTCAGAAATCGCACCCTATACTCTTAAATAGGGCTCAAGCCAATTTTAATGGTGTCCGAAACCATAGAGGGCATTATAAAGTGCACATTTTCAATCACATAATGCACCGCAAGAACACAATAACAACCAATCTACACTCAACGGCTGTAGAATACCCATAATGCGATGAATTCCCGCGTCTCACCACAAGATGGCGTCACGTGATAAGAGAAGAGAAGTCACTGCAAGAGGGATGGAAAGTTATTTTAAAGATTAAAGATTATGAGGGCACATTAATTTTTTTTTGTAATAAATACGGCAATATTGCATTAAATTATACGAATAATTTTGTTTTCATGGTGACTTTAATCAAACAGGTCTACAGCTCAAGATTCGCTCCTCTAAAGCTTTTTAAAACGTCACTGGAAACTTATTTTTTATTAAATATAATGTCATGTATTTGTAAGAAAAACTGATAAGGACGTTAAAGATCTCGATGAAGAACTTTATTGCAGCATAGCAGTGAAAAAGTAGCTACATGAAGCACCTTAGGTCGGAATGAACCCATAATCTGCTCAAACTTTTTGAACTGAATTACATTCGTATTCCCGCTCGACATTGCTGGCTTAAAGGCAAATTGAGGATAACAATAAAAGTGATAGCCTTCCATTCTCACTTCCTTGATAGCCTACTCTTTCAGATGGGAACAAATGTTGATACGATTGTCTGCAATCCCTGTTGATCATGTTAATGTTTCCTTTTGAACACTGGATGGTTTTTGATGGCCCATTAACCACTCACTCTTTAAATGCAAGTCATTAGTAGCCTATCACTCCAGTGTTGCTATTTACATATTACTCAGATAAGGAGGAATTGTAGCCCATCTATGATTGATTGTGTCTATCTTGGAGTGGAAGCTGGGTTAATTTCTTGTGACAGAGAGAGTGTTGCGGTGTGTATTTGGGGTTTGAGGAGGCCAGTTTTAACCATCGAATTACAGACACGTGTCTGATCAGGAAGAAGCTGATTATTGTCAGGAAGGGTTAAGGTTTACACAGATGGTGTGTACTATGTGCACCTTGAATGCAGATAAAATAAACTTTCAGCTCAGAGTAATGTTTCATTGTGTCTCCCCCTCTTCCCCCTGTCTGATTAGTCATTTAGTTCACCCGATGTCCTTCAATTATCTCATTAGTTCCCTCGTTTAGTTAGAAGTGATAGAAGTACTCCCTGTTTTGTTCAGTTCTTTTGCTCAGTCTGCACAGTTGATGTGGTACCATGTGTTTATATCCCAGCTCCACTATTTCTCTCTATCTCAATTGTTTACTTAATTAATCACTACATATATTATGTTATGGACTTCTTTTTTTTAATATTCTTTTTTTTCATTAATTTTATTTAAAAAAAAAACTAAATACATAAAATGATCCCATGAATGGCAGCCCTAAAAGGTTCTTATATAATATATTATGAACCATCTGACCAGACAGAACCCTGTAAGGTTCTGAATAGAACTTTATCTTCAGCACACTGATAGAATGACCGTGATTTCGTCAGCCTCCAGATATTCTATAATCCACCACCAGAGGTCACTGTGACCCCATTATTGACCTCGGTCGCCATGGTTACCGCCGTAAGCGCCATCTAAATACAAAGGCTTTCTGTAGCTATATGAATAGCACTTTGTAAAGTTTAGCATGTATTCTCACAGAAATTCGGAGTAATTGTCCTCATTCTGTTGGTAAACTAAACCTGTAAATACATCATGTCAAGAACATAGACAAGAACAAAGTAATAATGAGCAATATTTTTTTTAAAGAAAATAATAATATAAATAAAATCTGGAATAAATGTTTTTACTTGATGTAATCAACTAAGATGTAATCTATGACATTCAAAAAAATGTCATCATGTTCAAATGTTGCATGTTCATCGCTTTAAACAACCTTTGACATGACCAGCAGACGGTGATATATCATTCCATCTCTTATCAGCAGGGGGCACTATATGATATTTATTTCTTATTAATACATATCTTACCAGCATGATGGTAAGAAATGATTCCTAGTGCTGTTAAGATAAAATCCTATCTTATATCCTATATCCACACACATATACAGTACATACATACATATGATACATACATTCACAAGAGTAACACATTGAAATTCTTCTGTAAATCAGCCCTAACAAGCCAATAGTGTCATTATTCAGCTCAAGTCAGTTCAGTATTGATTCAGTTCCATAACTGTGTAAAATGCATAATGTATATACAGTGCATTTTTGTGTTGGAGTGCTATGACAAACTCCACTGAACAAGCAAAAGACACAAGATAGGGTTTTACATTTTTCACATCTGTGTGTATTTTGGCGTGGATGTGGCTAATAATTTTGTGTATTCTTACAAAAATAGCATTTTTAGAGTGTTTGCTTTTGTATTCGCTTTGCATCTTTTAGAGTTTTGAGAAATAGAGCCATAGTTTCAAAAACTGTGTAAGCAATTTGAACATGGAGGTGCTGTTGTTCTGCTCAAGCTTTGCCTATCGCTGATCCATGGGTCCAAAAAGTTACATTTTGGTCATATCACTCCACAAAACATTCTTCCAGAAGTCCACAGATCTATCCAAATCAATTTTAGCAAATTCAAGTCGGCCTTTTGTGTTCCTTTTAATTGGTCAAGAGAGCATTAATCAAGATGTCCCAATATGAAGGCTTCACTGTAAAAAAAAATATTTTCATGATTTGTAATCACAACATTTTTTTTCTTTTTCTTTTCTTATGTTGTTCAGATAACATGATATTTTGAGTTTCTGATGATTAAATCAACCTCCTCCATTGTAGCTTATTAACTCATTTTTTTATTTCAATGAACTTAATATTTTAAGGCAACCAGGTTACTTCATTTTTTTTAAGTTAAACCAACAATATTTTTTTACAGTGTTGTCCATTTCTTATACTGAAATGTTTTTTCCTGGTTTCATCAGGGAAAATTGCCAGTCTTTGGCAGTAAATTGAGGGCTTTTCTCAGTTAATCTCATCAAACAATTTATTACCCATTATTGTTCATTTTCTTCAAAACCCAGGGTTTCCTGGTACAACATATTTTAAACTTATGAAGAAGGCTGCCAGCTGTGATGTTAGTGTTATGGAAATCTTCTTGTAGACATAGACTTTCAAATGTTCTCTATATTAAATAAACAAATTGTTTAAGCTTTTGTGAGAGCTCTTTGGACCATATTTGCTACTCAACTTTAGCACATGTACGGGTTGAATGTGAGAATAACAGAACAAGCTATAATTCAGTTTTGTCCTCCAAAGGCTTAATTGTGTTTTACTACAATTCTGTATACCATACAAATAAGTTACTTAAAAACAGCATGCAGTGTCGAATAAGAGGTTGAATAATTATGAAAGCTGCATTACAAAAAAATCCTATAGCTCAAAAACATTACATTATTGACAGTATCACTAAACTTGCCTAAAAGCTGTTATACTGTAGATGCATTTTTCTTTTTTTTAAACCCAATATCTCGAGAAAAGCTTACATTGGTAAATAATTACAGTTTTTGGGCGGTTGAATAATTTTGATTATAACGTTACACACACACACACACACACTGATATATTTAATGTTATTGTATTGCTTTAATTCGGGGTTCTTTGTAATTGGATATTTTGAGTAATTGTCAATATCACAACTAAATTACTATAACAATTACATATAAAATAATCAAAAAAAGTTTATAAAGATAATAATACAACATATTTTAATAAGTCTATATCTACCAAACTCAACTCTTAAAATGTTTAATATGTTCGTTAAAATGCCATGGTTACGGCTAGTCACAGCGGTAGCCTCTTTATAGCCATGCATAACTAACATAACTCATGCAGAAGTAGCCTAAACAAAACAGCAGAAATGTTAAAATACTAAATGTTTAAGGGATATTCTGTTTTAATTTAGGATTGTCACAGTAAAAACTGTTAACTAATGTGTAACTAACTATTTTTGTAAGGGCATTGTACCCTTTAGGAATGTACAGTATCAGAATGCAAAAAGTAAAGCTACGCCCACGGGAGCACTAACGTTACAAGAAAAAGGGGGAACAACGAGGACTGTTAGCCTACTCTCACTCTATCCATCATTGTTAAATACTGGAGGCTAGTAACACAGGAAACAGAAGCTCAGGCCAGATAACTCCACTATCAAGTTGACTTCGGCGGCAACAGGAGAGTTGGTAGGAAGTTATCTGTATTCTGTTTTAGCGCCGAAACCTGAAGAAAACCAGGAAACAACGTACGGTCGACATTCGGAAATCATACAGAAATGAGGTAAGCCAATTCAATTTAAGCCATCATATATTTTTTTTTTATAGAAAAGTACAATTTTAAGGAAGATTAAGGAACAAACACATGTTGTGTAGGTTGAAGGGTTCATCTTTAGACTAATGTAAATAGAGACTTTGGTAACTACAAATACAGACACGTGGCGGGCGGGTTCTGACTGTGAGTTCAGCTTTTAATAAGTTTTCTGTCTTCTTCTAAAGTATATAGGCCTATATTTCTTCATAAACAGAAACTGACCATTTGTTCATTTTAAAGGAGCAAAAATGTATTTTAAATGAGCCAACTTTCTACTTTAGACTGCGCCTAAGACAAGGCGTGTTTTATTGTAACGTTGTGGATGAGCATCTCTCACCGGCTGAGAGAAAAAAACGTGTGTTTGTTTAATCCCGTCGATAAAGTAGACCCTAAATTTGTTTTTCCTTGGGACACGCCGAGAAAGCCAAACCCTTTGTCCTCTGGGGAAATACAGCGAGGGCAAAACTCAGCGTTTCAGGCTCCGGTGTTTATATCAGAAAACCATTTCCCCCGCCGCGTGTCTCTGGTGGATCTTTATTGAGGAATCGATTCGATTATTGCCAATCGAGCGATTTAAATCCATTGTTTCTAATGATGGTGGAACACGCTGCTTAATTGGGATCCTCAGTCGTTTGATGTCCAGTGTTTTACAGTCTGTTCAAATTTTAAAAGTCATGATGTAATACTTTAAGAATGTTTCAGAAAGACTCGGTTCGGTCACTGTGTTGGAGCATGGAAGAATTGTCCATTTAAAAGATTCGATCGCTCACCAGAAGCACAACATTATTACATTCTATTACTATCAGAGAGCATAAAGAAATCTAAGGATTTGATTCACTTGGGAAGTTAGGGGCACAGTTAACCCTCTGGAGCTCTTTGTCAAAAATGACCACATTTTTAAAATTGTATTTCAATTAAATTACGACACTTGGCAGATTATTGCTGAAGTGACAAAAAGTTTTAAAGGAGAATTCTGGCGCAAAATGAGCCTTTGGTCTAATAACACATTGGTACCTAATCAACCGTTCTCTGAGATTTGTTTTCATGATAATCGAATGTAAAGAGTTTTATCTCTAAAAACTGTTTAGCATATAATGCTAGTAATGGGGGCATTTAATTGTCTATAAAATATCAATAATTATTAAACAGTCTGTACTTACAAAGTTCTCAATACTTTGTTTTGCATGTAGATAACCCTTTATTATGTTACTGTGTGAGTGTGGGGCTATTTTGAGCCTTGTTAGTGGTATAAACTAGTGATTTCTTTTTACTTATTAAATGTCCCCATTACTAGAATTATACGCTAAATAGTTTTTGAGATAAAACTCTTTACATTCGATTATCATGAAAACAAATCTCAGAGAACGGTTGACTAGGTACCAATGTGTTATTAGACCAAAGGTTCATTTTGCGCCAGAGTTCTCTTTTAAAAAAGTCTCCAAATTTTAGGTTTATTGTCATGAAAAATTCACTATTTTTATATGAAATATATATTTTCAAAAACACGTTTAAATCAAAGCCATAAATCTAGACGTTGTGTTCCAAATTTGAGCTTGATATCTCAAAAAATGAGCTTTCAATAAGATTTTGTTTGGCCAAGTGCAAAATTTTTCACTAAATTCATCTCCCATTCATTTCCAATATGGTCATTTTTGACCGTGAGGAGCACAAGTGTGACAATTGTTTTTCAGGACCATTTAACCTTTTCAAATCATGTCCATGATTTTAGTTTTTTGTGTTCACATAGCAAGTGCCAAAACCTTTACCAAGTTTTGTACCATTTCGATGAAGTAAAAAATTCTAAAATAATCTTAAAATGCTCCCAAGACTCACTCACTTTTGGTGCTTGAACTTTATTATAAAAGCATCCTCTACTAAAGGTGTGTTACAGGATCAACTGTAAAATTCACATGGCCCAGGACTGGAAGAAGCATTTTATAGGTGCCATCCTCCATTTCTCTGCCCAGAGAACAATGAATAGGTGTACAGGACCTTTCTGTGTGGTCAACACACACTGAACTTGAATTGTTCCAGTCAAGTGACACAGGACACACTGGACAGAACTATTAATAGTTACTTTTTAACTGCAATGTGGTTCACACACCTGTGGCAGAAGGTTTGCAAGTAGATACCTACTGTTTTCACTAAACACGTGATAACACGACAACTCCAAACTGTCTCCACTCATACTGTAAACAAACACACATGCAACTGACCTAAACTGAATCCTCTTGAAGATAAAAAAAGTGTAATCTGCCTAAATGGGAAAGGCTTTCTACCTTTGTGAAACTGACAGGTAGTGAAACCTGCTTTCCCTCATTCAGGAGAATATCGGTGGAAATGACTTTGAGCACGTGCCACGTGTGAGTTACAAAAAAATCCTTCCATAAGCCTGTGTGTTGAGGACAAAGACATCTAGTGGACTGCATCTAATCGTATTAAACACAACACGCTGAATCAGTGTCCTGCTGAGATCCCTGCAGTTTCTTCTCTCTACTGTTTCCCTCTTTGTATTGCCTGTACCCCCACCCCCCTTACTCTTATCTCTTTCTTTCTTTATTTGTGTGTGTGTGTGTGTGTGTGTGTGTGTGTGTTAGTAGATGTTTTGGTTATCCAAGTTATACTGACCTAACTCTTGCAGTCATGTCATGGGATAAGTTGACCTGGTTCACAAACAAAAACTTGCACTCACTTTTTTTTAATCTCTAATCAGAGGATACACATTTGACTTACCTTTAGGTCATAAGCCCTAATTTATTAATCAAATTCATGATTCTAATTTGTTTTATAACATCACATGAGATTGCTGGTGGTTTTTTCAAGTTGTTTCACAAACAGCAGGTAATGCAAATTGAATGGACACACCCCTGTTTAAAGAGCTTTTGACCATGGTATTGGGAAATGGTTAGGCGTGTCTCTCTTTTACAATTCACAAGAATTTCCAGAAATTTCAGGAATGAAATGTCATGAAAGTTTCCTCCAGCGATGTGTTTAATAGCATTCTGAGATGGAAATGACATTTAAAATGATATTTTTTAAGATATCGACTTGTCTTAAGAGTAATTTAATAGTGCCTGCAGCTAAAAAGTTTGACTTCTCATGAAAAGCAAAAGGACTTTGAAACTTTATTTTCAAAAGTTTACGTTTTCAAAACTGGCCTCCAAAACTACATGAACGGCCAAAACACATAAAGTTTTTGGTTTTTAGATGAAAACGGTGTCCTGTAAACGGCCCATGACATTAAAGCTCAACCTTTGACCTTAAAATATTGTTTACATTCTCACCAGAATTAAGGCTTGTATCATATTGTCCAAAATACTTAAAATGTTCCATACTTTCAACAGCCTAATCATTTAACATTAGTTTCCCTTACTCATGGTGTTCACCAGAATTAACATTGAAGATCAGTTATTTTGTTTCCCTTACATTTACTATGTGCAAAGCACTTGATTTGTTGCAGTCTTCAATAACAACCACAATTAATCACAACCAGAAACATCATATTATGCGACTGCGCAGTACTTTAGTACAGAGTTAAGGAGTAGTTCACTTTAAAAAACACTTTTGCTGATAATTTACTCACACCCATGTCATCCAAGATGTCCATGTCATTCTTTCTTCAGTTGAAAAGAAATTAAGGTTTTTGATTAAAACATTCCAGCATTTTTCTCCATATAATGGACTTCAATGGGAACCAAACGGTTCAAGATCCAAATGAGAGTTTCAGTGCAAACTGTTCAAAGGGCTTTAAACGATTCCAGACGATGAATAAGAGTCTTATCAAGCGAAACGATCGCTCATTTAAAAAAAAAAAGTTTAAGTTTTATAAGCACAAATGGTCGCCTTGCTCTGTTCTGTGATGAACGTTCGTGCCTCCCCTGTTCAAACTTGTTCATCAAAATGAACAAATTTTTTTCGAGTCATTACTCAAAGTCCTTAATGAGACCCTTATTCATCGTCTGGAATCATTTAAAGCCCTTTGAACAGTTTGCACTGAAACTCTCATTTGGACCTTGAACCGTTTGGTTCCCATTGAAGTCCATTATATGGAATTTATATAAAATCCTGGAATGTTTTCATCAAAACCTTAATTTCTTTTTGACTGAAGAAAGAAAGACATAGACATCTTGGATGACATGGGGTGAGTAAATTATCAGCAAAGGTTTTTTTTTAAAAGTGAACAACTCCTTTAGTTACAAACTAGCTAGTTACAAGTTACTAAGCCTCTAATGTGGACGTTACATTCCAATTTAAGAAAGAACTTACAAATGGCTGATGCAACCCTACCCAGATGTATTAGCTACTCTATAGATCATTGGCATTGAGAGTAAGAGTGGTGACAACAACACACAACCCTGTGGTACCCCTGTTTTTAAAACCAAACTAACACTGAAAGGAAATCTTTGATCCAGTATGTAATGCAGAATTTATATCCACATTACGAAAGCAAATGAATCTAGTGCATTGCATTAACCCAGCAAACACAGAACGTTCCCCTAACGTTCCCAAATGGTCCCATGAGGTTATTTTTTTCAAACAATAACGTTATAGGAACGTTCCATGTAGGTTATTTTTAGGTTCCATTTTTATAACGTAAGGAGAATGGTCCGGTAACGTTCCCTTAACCTTAAGGGAAAGTTCTAGGAACATTTTGGGAACCAAAAGCTAACATTCCCAGAACGTAAATTTGTTTGCTTGGAAAAGCCTGTGCACAAGATTTACTCCTGGGTATGCTTTACTATAAAATCAAAGTAAGTGTGGCATATTCTGTTCCTCTGTATTGTCTATATGCAACCTTCAATGGATCTAAAATCGAACTCACTGATACAGGAATACCATAACATAACATGTTTGCTTACAATTCTTTCCATGCATTTTTACAGGACAGGAGGACTAGTCAATGCAAACTGGTCTATAATTTTCGAGTGTAAATCATTCAAACTCTACTGTTCAACAGTCTGGGATCAGTAGGGTTTTTTGTTGTTGTTGAAAAATATTAATACTTCTATTCAGCAAGGACTTTTAATAAACCGCTATGCGTTTACTGCCATACGCTTGATTAATTTTGTTTTTAATAAACCCTCTTTTTCTCTGTTTGATAGGAGGATGGCTCCCTCTCTAATACAAGCATTCAGGAGGCGGTGGTGGATGGCCGTCACAGCGGTGTTGGAGAATCTGTTGTGTTCGGCTGTGCTGTTGGGCTGGGGCTCTCTGCTCATCATGCTCAAAAGAGAGGGCTTTTACTCTCACCTGTGTCCAGGTATTATCAGGCACAGAAGTCAAACACAATCACCCTAACTCAAGTCTCTAACTAGCACAAAAAGAAAACGGAGACAGAGTTCCTGGGAAACCTGAACCGCTTGGAGACATTAAAACTTAATAAAGTCTCTGTCTCTTGCATTCATTGACCTTCTCTCTCTCTCTCTCTCTTTCTATCTGTAGAAGAAAATACGACTGAGAATGTGAATGTTAGCAAACCAGATGACTGGCTGAGCTGTGTGGAACAGGATGAAATGTTGAATTTGGGCTTCACCATTGGCTCATTTCTGCTCAGTGCCGCCACACTGCCATTGGGTATTCTCATGGATCGGTTCGGCCCCAGGCCACTGCGCCTCGGCGGAAGGTGAACACACACATACACTAACGCTCTGATTGCTTACTAATATGTACAAATACGAGCACTTTCATATTCAAGTTATTATCATTCTAATGGATTCCATTACACAGGGTTAGTTGCAGGCTAGTTGCATAAACTTTGCCATTATTTTAAGATGGTGTCTTAAGAAATTGTATGACCCTCTCAAGGGACCGTTAGTTTTAATTTTCGGTATCTAATTAGGACAATGTACGTTTTTATGTAATTGACTTAAAAAAGACTTGACCAGTCTTAAAGAAAAAAAAAATGTATGGCTATCTTGTAAGACTAGTCTAAGTGGGTTATGCAACCGGTCCTTGAAAATCCCTTGAAAACAGCCATATTCATAGTTGAAAATTGCTTGAATTATTGAAAGACAATATATGTGAAAATAGCGTTTGTAATTTGATCAATAAAACAATCTTTTCATGCAAAATTAACGCTGCATTATATTTGCCATGGTATCCAGGGGCGCAACTACCCAGTTTCGGAGGGGTATGCAGCAACAATTTAAAAAAAATAAAAAAAAAAATAAAATAAATGTAATGTAAGTGTGCTGTGTAATAAGTGAGTAGGAAGAAATGAGAGCTAACAGAAAAAAATAAGTGCAAAATTGTCGTTTATTAACACAATTAAACTATAGCTACTCCACCTTGATGAACCCCCCCTAAGAAAACTATAAGCTCTATTGGAACAGATATACCAGTGTTTCTCACAGGATTTTAGGTAAAACTGTGGTAGGTGGACCTCTGTTTCTCTAGGGGGGTTTGGGGGCATGCTCCCCCGTAAGAAAATTTTGTGTTCTGTAATGTTAAATTCAGCAGTCTGGTGCACTTTGAGAGTTCAAAATTAAAAGCTCCAACCCATATTCAGGGTGCAAATTAAACAGAGAAAATTTTGATCCTCTTTTAGTTAGTGTCTGTATAAATTACACTACTACAAAATAATAGTTATAATATTAATCCCATGATAGTAATTGCCATAAAGGCTATTGTAAAACAAATGCACAGAAAAATAAAGGAAACTTTCATAATTAGTTTTGCACTAATTTCTATACTTGAAAGATACTTGCGCATAATGACATATTTCATGGGCCAGTGTGTCAGAAAAAAAAAACTAAAGCTGACTTTTTTTGACCAATGCATTACACCAGCACAGCGCTGCCAATTAAGCAAAAAACAAAACAAAAACAAACAACAAACAAACAAATGGGCCGCCGATGTATGAGTTTTGTGGGCCGTTAAGACAAATAAATTAAAAAAGGATGAAATGTATTGTCTGAAAAGCACGTCGGCCCAGCGGGAATCTCAGTCCCGATGGCCACCGAGATATAGATAGCCATGCCTGGATGTCACATTTTAAATCCTACCTGTTGGATTTCAGCAATGCATGCAGTTATTTAGGTGCTGTCGCATCAATTGACATGCCATCTCCTTTTCTCTCTTTCTTTTTCTATTTTGAGCACCACAGCATTTTGTTTTATCCATCTTTTTCGACGACAACTAACTACTCGTAGTCTCGTACCTGCTCGCTCAGAGCTCACGGCGCCCCCGCCCGCTCGCGATATTACCCGCCCCCTTCTCCATGAGGGCGCCTACTCTAGCCTGGCTGTTAGTCCTCAAAAATTTTATATAACATTGAAGGAATGCAGAAATGATTTAGAAACGCACAACGGCAGCTACATATAGAAATAGCTGCCGTTGTAGCCTATATATAATTTTTTTTTTTTTTTTTACCATCGCTTTGGTGCCCCCCATTGTGCTGCGCCCCTATGCGCCGCATATAGCGCATACCCACTTTTTGCGCCACTGATGGTATCCTTTCAATGGTTAAAGTGACAACAGTCATTGCATGTGCTGCTTTATATGTACCATTTTGTTTTATTAGTTTATTTTTATTTATCTATTAATTTACCTTTTTTAGAATTTGAAAGATAATAAAGATAATGTTTGATAAGTGATAGCTCTGATTGTAGTCCAAAAAACAAACAAACAAAAAAAACCCCAAAAAGTAATGCTTGAATTTCATTGTACAGGGTCTGTACAAACCCTGATTACATTTGTATTTCTACAGTATCTTGGTCTGTATTTGTGTCATTAACGATTATTCATGTATTACATTCTTTTCTCAGTGCGTGTTTTGCGGTCTCTTGTATGATCATATCCATATCAGCCTATCAACCAAAAGGTGAGTGAACTACATTCCGAATGTGCAAGAGTCATCGAATTATGGCAGTGATCAATCACCAATCAATATTTTGTTTATTTGGATGTATTCAAGTTTTTAAAATAATTTAACATTCAACAACACAATGTTTATAATTAATTTGTTGCTATTTTTATAATTGATTATCAGTCAAGGATTTCGTTGAATTTTATTGAATTTAAAAAAAAGCATAATTTTACTTTCATAACTTTTTCAATTTTGTTTGCTAAATTTTTTTCACAAAATTTTTTCGCTAAATTTTTTTGTTTAAACTTTTTTTTGATGAATTGTTGCTGCCTTTAAATATAGAGCAATGATAGATCAATATCCCTTCTGCATCAATTTTAAAAAAGTAAAAAAAAAAACTGTATAAAAAATCTGAAGTTTTGAAGCACAGACTTAAGTTTGACCCCTGGCAAGACTTTTGTTGAAGTATGAAACTAAAGTAAAAAAAAAAAAAAGTGAAACAAAAAGTTGTAGAGGTTTAAGTTTATGAAAATCATTTATAAACATTATTTTACTTTTAATAAAATTTGCTGAACACAAAACCTGCAAGAAAATAAAAATCCATAAATCTAAACAATTTGCTGTTGAAATCTCAAAAAAGATTGCTTTCAGTAAGATTTTGTTTGACTGCTGTACCACATTTTGAAGCCTTGCCAAAAGAATGCAAGCCTATTAATAAAGACTGCATCATATTATAGTTAACGCTCTGATGGTCCTCGGTCACTTCTGACTATGGTTGGGTATCGTTTGAATTTGAACGATTCTGATTCCGATTCCTTGTTTCGATTCCGGTTCCTAACGATTCTCGATTTCGATTCTTTTAAGAGGCAGGGTCAAAAAAGTTTAGCTAACCTTGCTAACCAACGGTCTTTCTGAAGGAAATACTCCTTCTGTCACAAATACTTGTCACAAATTTTGCATTTTGCCGAGATTTCGTTTAATTTTTAGAAAAGTGAAGCCACGCTTTGGACCGCCGACGTAAGCTACTCATGTTCGACTCGCGCGGTTATGCCAACACTTCCGGTAGACGCTTCTTCGTTGGTGTTGTTCAGCGGTTTCTTCTTCCGCTCGGCGGACTGTGAATATCGAAACTAGGAATTGAAATTTTAACTTTTGAACGATTCCGGGAAAAACCAAAAGTTTGTCCCGGTTCCAATCGATACTCGATTCTCGATACCCAACCCTACTTCTGACCGAATAATTTTCTGTTTTGAATTATTAAAAATCACAGCTTCATCGGAAGGTTATGATACTTTTTTGGCATTTGGTATGTGAATACACACAAAAAAAATTGAGGTCATGATTCAAGCATGCTAAGTGGTCGTAAAACTTTGGTCAGAAATGACCGACCCACAGGAAATGAATGGGAAATTTACAAAAAAAAACAAAAATTCTCTGAATTTTTGTACAATCTACAAATCGGCCACGATTCTTAAAAGAAGTATACCGCAGTAAAGGGGTGACACTCTACAACATCAAAAGTGCCAACAATTTACACCCACCCTCACACACACATACAAACACACTTTTATATATAATTTAGACTACTAAAAAATCTGTTTTGAATTTTTAAAAATCACAGCTTCATCGGAATGTTACGGAACTTGGTGACATTTCTGGCATTACGTATGTGAACACACAAAAAAATTGAGTTCATAATCCGAGCATGCTAAGTGGTCGTAAAAAAATTAGTGACGATTTTGGTCTTTGGTCAAAAATGACCCCCATAAGAAAATGAATTGGAAATTGACAAAAACATTTTTTATTTTTTTTTTTACAATTTTTTTAATAAGAAATAGTTTTTGAGATTGTTTCAATTATATATTTAAATATATATTCAAATATATTTAGTAGTAAATTTAGAATTTATATGCTTCTGTATACAGCGGAGCGGACACATATAATATAAAGCGTCATATCTAAGTCATTCTCACATGTTTCAGTTGACCAAACAGCTGTTTCAATTGTGTAATAATGGTTGTGCCTTTCATTCTAGTACTCTCTGCACTCATTTTTCTGGCTCTGTCACTCAATGGCTTTGGAGGGATCTGTCTGACCTTCACATCTCTCACGGTAAGAAAAAAATAGAAAACGGTAGAGCGAAAGAGCACCTGTGGTGACTTGCATGTTTTGTAGTGCAGCTGTCACATGACACTTTTTAAAGTTCATTTTGTCCAGACAAGTGTGTGTGCGCGTGTATTTATGTTTTGGCCACTCAGAGGCCCGACGCACATGACTGAAGGAGAAATTCTGGCCTTTTCAGTGCCCACCAATTAGAATGCTAAACTGCCCACACGCCTTCTCTGACGCCCTCTCCCTCCCATCCACCTCTAGCTGATACAAAGCAAGGGCACAAACGTTGTACCCACACTCATCAACAAACAGATTGTGACTTTCCTATCGGTTTAGTGATATCACCTGGTGTGGGAAAGAATGACTATATATATCAGCTGCTCTCAGATGCAGATGCCAAAACACACTTACCCTTGTGCATTTACGGCCAGGTATGCGTACACGCTGCCCCACACTAGACAACACATGGTGCTTTTTATCCAATGAGATCCTGATGCTCACTTCTGAGAAAAACATAGCATAGGACTCTCTGGGTCTTTGTTGACAGTGATTTACTACCAGCATGGAGACAATGTTCTGATATCGCATTGAACGCAATATTTACCCTGTTCCACTATGTGCGTCGTTATGACGATCTGAAGTGACTTGTGATCAGCAGGTCAGTGACCTCCATGATTTTGTGTACTTATTACACATTATAAAATCCAATCACAAATGAGGCGGAAATGTTTTGCTTAAATCTCCTTTTCAGACGTTTCTTCTAAGCAAACTTTCTCACACTATGCCCAGATTAAAGATACAATTCAGAGATTCTAATATTCACAAATCTAATCCTTCCAAGATTAAATTACCATCGGTGTAACTCAAGGTTATGTGTTGGGTCCCCTTCTCTTTTCAGTATATAAACATTGCTGACATCTATCATCCAGGCACATTGGTTTTCTTACCATTGTTATGTCACCTCCTCCTTACTTCTCAATTCATATGACCTTAGCTATTCCACAACTATGTTATAGCATGTATATCTTTACGTTAGTAATCGTCTCTTGTATTTGTCTGAGGGATTTTAGTTGAAACTTCTTGAAGCAATACTTGCCATTAACACAACTGAGAACGTTCCTAAACTATGAACATCTGAGAAATAAATAACATCATTTCCTTTGGGTACTCGAGCTCCTATTATAGCATTTGAAATGTTCCTATTTTTGTTTTAGGAGTTCCCAAAAACAGTTTAACGTGCATGCAAATATAAAAAACACTTTATTTGTCTTATGATATGCATTTATTTTTACCCGATTTGCTCAACGACTCCAAAATGATTTGTTCGACGATTCGTTTTCCCAAACACCTCCTTTGAGTGTGACTCCTTTGATTCTCCGGCGATTGGTCAAATGACCCAGTTGTTATTGGTAAACCTTAGGCAGAGATTGTCGGCAACGGAACGCCCATAACCAGGATTATAGCTTGTCAAGTGTTGAAAATTGTATATAGTGTTTGAACAAACGTGTCTTTCCACACGGTCCCATACTCGCGTCTCCGTCAAGAGCGAGCTTTCCCGGCGAAACTCATATTGCGGCGGCTTTTGAAGGCAGTGCTTATTATACAGAGCGAAGTCATATTTGGCTAAGTCGTTTAGGAGGTAATTGCCATTTTTCAATGAATGTCTGGTGAATATCAAAAACAAAACTAACTTAGAAGCTGCGCGGAGTGTACACAACACACACAACACGATATAACTATATTTTGCATGTTACAGAAAACATAACAGCAAACATTATTAATAATACTTACAGATTGGGATTCGGAGGAGGACGAACCTGATCCATATATTACTGGATACTGAGCCCTCCTTCGGGAACAACCGGCTTGCGAATCCTCATTTGAATTCATTTATGTTTTTGAATGATTCGTCATTAAAATGATGAGAACACAAGGTTCGGGTGTTGCAAATATGAACTCTAACCACTGATTCTTCACATGTTCAATGAAAACAAGTGGCTGAACTGTCTTTGCAATGTAGAACACAGCGTCTTCTCGACATGATGCGATTCAGCTGAAGTTTTTGAATGTGTTCTAGACGTCACTTCAAGTCTACACTCCCGTCTGCGCGCGCAGTTGTTGGGAGCGGCCAATGAGCTAATGTTGTATCTACGTCACGATGTAACAGCTAATGACTCGTTTCAAAAACAATTCATTTCATAGACTCAGAGTCGACTCTCACTTTTGAAAGACAATAACTTTATATACGGTGCACTTTCAGATATAAATCTTTGCAGGATGTTTTCGTTCCCGTAGAGCTATATTCCACACCATATGAACATTCATTTTCAAAAATCCATGATAGGTGCTCTTCCAAGGTTTGCTTTGCAACCTTCTGTAACAGTTTCCTTTAGGTTGTTGTATCACTCTTGTGTTTGTGTGTGAAAACCACAAAGGAAGCATAAATGTGCCTTTTCTCAGAAGTATGCGTTTTAACCTTTTCATTTCACACAGGGTAGTAAAACGCACTAGCACACTCCTGTTAGTTTGCAAGAGTCTAGAAAATGAAGCACTGCTCGGAGAGTTCTTGGAAAACAAATTTGAAAACAATCCATGCCAGGACTTTATGCTTACAGTAGCATATATATTTCTCACACAGCTTTTCTCAAAGTTTTCTGTTTTCGTTCTTCACTCCATTGTGTTAATTATTGGTATTTAAATCAGGCATCTTTTTCACTTTTGCTCATAATTGCAGTTAGACATGTGATGCGGTTATACAAGTGATGTTCGCTTGAGTTTTGACTTGTCATTAAACCACCCAGAACACCTTAGCGTTATGTTGGTGAGTTTTTCCATGGTCAGGCAAGCACCACTGTTGTTATCATAAATAAAAGATTGTTTTCAATAAATAAAATCTAGTTATTGTTCCTGTTTTTGTATATTGCAAATGTAGGATCAGCTGCATCTTATGATTTTCCTATTCTGATAACAATGTGCGGGTCCTTTCTCCCTGTGATAGCTGCCGAACATGTTTGGAAGCCTGAGCTCCACTGTGTTGTCACTGATGATTGGCTCATACGCATCGTCGGCTGTCACCTTCCCTGGAGTCAAGGTATTTTTTCTATCGTGTGTAAATAGAGGTTAAACCAGTTTGGCATGTAGTCGGCATGCTCGGAAATCAACCCTCTGATGAAACATTGCATCAGATTGAAGGAACCTGTATCACATGTGTAGAAATGATCAGCCTAAAGGAGAACTCCGGCGCAAAATGAACGGTACCTTGTATAAACAGTGATACCTTAGTACGGTACCTTAGTATAAACAGTGATACATCTTTTTCAGGGTTCAAAACTTTTCACTTTTATTCAATTTAATATATCGATGCTGAATAAAAGTATTGTATATATAAGTTTTACTGAAACTAGTGTACATGCTGACCTCAGTTATAACTGGAAGCGTCACTTTATCAGTATTACTCTAGAGATGAATGATATTCTGCTCATGTGTGTAATGCTGGAGTGTATTTAGGAACATGTTCTTTGATATTTTGTCATGTTGAACATGCTTTCCTCAGCCTCATTCAAACCTAATACCATCAACCAGATGCTGCAGACAAGCAAAATATATATTTATTTTCACCGGCCATCAGGGTCGGCGCTATGGTGGGGCATTCGAGGGCCGTGCCCCCCCTAGCGCTCATTGATGCCCCTCCTACCACAGTTTCTAATACAATGCTAAATCATAAATCAGATGTAGGCTATACAATACCAAATGTCCAGCAATCTATTTGAATAGCACATTGTGTTTAATTTGTTGTCTAATTGGATGTAATGTGTTGGTGCCAAGAATTTTCACGTGAAGAAATACATGCATCCAATTCTATTTTTTATCGCAAGTGTTGTTGGTCCAGTGGTAGAAATTTAGACTGGCATGCATGAGATTGTGGTTTCGAGTCCACACTCGTTTAGATATTTTTTTTCCCCATCATTATAACCGATTATGTTTATCAGTGGTTGTCAAGCAGGGACATGTTTGAGTGCATTTTACTTGTACGAATAGAGATTTCGCCGCAACAGATCAAGCGCGCGTCCGTGTGAAGATGTTTATTGTGGCAGCGCGAGACACAAGAGAACACTTTATCAGCACCACAGATCGAGTCAACGAGCACTTTGATCACTTGATTTAAAAAACAACACATTTCAGCGTGCTATATCGCCTCTTATTTAACAAATGAATGCTCTGTAAACCGGATATTTATTTGTATTGGTACATCCGTGCCGCGAGATGTATAAAAGTGCTGGGACAACATCGACCCTGGCAAAAAGTGGTGGGGAAATTCGCAAATAATAATTTTAAATAATAATTATAATAATAAAAGGTGTTTCGTTTTTTTTTTTTTTTTTTTTTTTTTTTTTTTTTTGCTTAAACGGCAGTGCCCCCCCCGCTGATGACCCAATGCCCCTCCAGTAGATCTGCTCTGGCGCCGACTCTGCCGGCCATTCAAGCATGTCATACAAATGGAAAAAAACCCTCATGAATATTACATCTTGTCTTTGTCTCTTTGTCTTCCTCCAGCTGATATATGATGCCGGGGTGCCGTTTACTGTTATCATGTGGACGTGGGCCGGCCTGGCAAGTCTGGTGTGGCTCAACTGTTTCCTGAACTGGCCAGTAGAAGGGTTTGCTACCCCTGAAGAGATTATGTTAGTCCAACATTTTTGTTACCTATATAACCCTCAATGATTACATAAATACTCAGTAGTGTTACTTAAAAAATAGCCTACCTAACTTTTAACTTTTGAATTTAAACTTCTGAATAATTCCTTCCTTTTCCAACCATTTATTAGGGAAAAGATGCATGCAGCTGAAAACCACAAATTGTCTCCAGTTGAAGAGGCGACGGGAGAAACCGAGAAACTGTCTGCTGTAGCTCAGGATATACAACGTGAGACACTTTGAGATGATGTGATACATTTTGAGACACTTTGTTACACTTGTGTGAATGTGTAGCTGAATCGAACTTCCTGGAAATCCTTTTCTCAGCTTCTGTCCCGTTCCGTCGCTCTGTGTTCTCTCCCATCTTCCTGTGGAGTCTGATCACTATGGGAATGACTCAGCTGAGAATCATCTTCTTTATGGGAGCAATGAACAAGATGCTTGAGTTCATGGTCACCCACGGAGAGATGCACTGTAAGTCAAGCCACACAACTTGTGCGTTATCACTTTATTTATTAAACCTGCCACCTGTCCAGGTGACTTAAAATGCGTTTCTGTCTTGTTTTAGCCCCTGAAGAACTGGTGGAGGCAGAGCTGAAAGGTGAGACCCTTAAAACTTTTGTTAGTTTGATGAATGAAAGTGATAATGTGATTAAATGTGCTGATTGTGTCTATATTTTAACTTCCAGTGAGCTTCTACTCGTCCATCTTTGGCACACTGCAGCTCTTGTGTCTGGTAACCTGTCCTCTGATTGGATACATCATGGACTGGAAGATGAAAGAGTGTGAGGTGGATCAGAAGACAGTGGAAGGAGAGAAAGAGTAAGGAATTGAAGTTCTTTTGGTCTCAGTAGTCTCTTCTCTGATGATGTGTTTGATGTGAGGCAAACATGAGATCCACCAATAGCAAACCACAACTGTCCAATCCCCATGGCCTACATTTGTTCTTGTCTGAGAGGCTGTTTCACTCGGATGTACGTCACAGTCGTTCTGTAAAAATCATTCTTCTTTGTCTCCTGCCAGAGCTGTTGCTGTACCAAAGCGTGACAGAAAGATCCAGAAGTTGACCAATGCCATGAGAGCCTTCACTTTCACAAATGTTCTGCTCTTTCTGTTTGGGATCCTCTCACTCATAGACAACCTACCTCTGCAGGTAACAACATAACCGGCCTTATTCACACTGTTAGCAGGCTAAGTAGCTCACTTTATGAGGGGATTGATGGATATTCCAGTAGCATATTATATATACACCAACAATCAAACCTTTGGGGACGCTAAGGTTTTTTTTAAACCCCCTCTGGGGTTGTTCAGCCCAAATGGTCCCGAAGAATTCAAATACATTTTTTTTTTAAATCACAGCTTCCTCGGAATGGTCGAAAATTGGTGACTTTGTTGGTATTTGGTATATCAACACCCCCAAAAAATGGGGACTGGATGTGAATAGTCTAAGTGGTTGTAAAAAAAAAAAATAGTCACACTTGGGGTGTTGGGGACCCGTATGGAAAATGAATGGGAAATTGGCAAAAATGTGAAAATACTGAGTTTTTTTGTGCGTACAATCTACAAATCATCCACGATCCAGAAAAAAAGCACACAACAGTGAAGGGGTGAATCTATAAAACATCAAGAGTGCAAAACACACTCACACACAAACACACTTTTATACATAAACACATCCAATAATTCAGATTATACATGCGTTTCGCATTTTTAAAATGCTCAGTTTGTCCACCATTTTTCAATCTCATTTCAAAAATAGCTTTTATGAGGCCTTAGTCTCAGCCTCAGACGTCACGCCCACGGAACGTTGGCTAAACGTCTGATGCATATGGTACACTTAACTGGAAACACTTCAGGAATGTCGAAGTCGTCATCTGATTGGTTGAATTTTATCGGATTTCCGGGGGGCATCAGTGTCGCGTTTATTTTCGGTCCGCCGGGAAACAAAGCGCAGAAGTGTGATTGCGGAAGAAAAACTGTTGTGTTTATGAGTGACAATGAGCATTAATCAAGATCAGCTAAACGTAGTTGTATGTCCCCTCCTATCGATTATGGAAGATCAAGTGAAGTACTTAATTGCGAAGGGGATATCAGCCGCGTTTGTGGGCAAACATGAAACAACAGACGCTGACATCGCAGCTGGCCGATTCAGTATTTATATATATGCGCACACTGGATTATAAGGTGCATAAGATACTGCAGAGTCAAACGTTTGACTGCGAGTATTCAATGTGCGGCGGCTCGCTGACAGCTAACGTTACAGCTGGCTGTTTTGAATGAGACGAGCCGGTTACTGTGAACGGGGAGCGCTTTATGAACATAACTGTGACGCACGAGCAGCGCCGGGTACAGTGTGTCTGAGTGAGCGCTCGTGAGCACGTGATTTACACACATAACCTGATTTATACGAGGTTGAACTGGCCGTGTGACAAAGCGGGCATAAGATGGACATGAGCGCGAGTTTGTGGGTGAATTTAATAACGCGGACCGTTGTTAACAAGCGCCTCCGGTGACTGCTGCTGAGTCTGACTGACTTGTTGCACGCCGGTCTGATGTTGTGGGGACATTTCCACGCCCCGAAACGTGACGCTGAATGAAACGAACTGTAATTGGTTGTTTGACATGTCGGTCAAACGGCCTTATGGGCGGGCCTTGGCCAAAGAAAGCTGCTATGAATTCCAGACCTTCAGCCGTCAGTCTGAAGGTCTGGCTACGCGAGACTAATGAGGCCTAGGCTTGACTCTAAAATGAAATACAGCTTTAAAAAAAAAAAATCTATTATATTCAGTGGGGGAAAATGAGTTATAATTATTGCATTAATGTTAATTATATATATATATATATATATATATATATATATATTAATTTTCTCAAAACACCAAAAAAGAAAAGAAAAAATATTATAAAAACAAGTAAAAAAAAAAAAAAAATGATTTTTTTTTTTATATAAATATGAATCCTGCCCTTTGGATCCATTTGTGTGACTGTTAAATGAACAACCCCTTTCAAATGTTTTTGAAAGAAGTCTCTTATACTCAATGCTGCATTTATTTGAAGAAAAAATACAGTAATAACAGTAATATTAGTACAATGTTTTCTATTGAAATTATATTTCTGTGATGGTAAAGCTGAATTTTCAGCATCATCACTCAGTGTCACAAGATCCTTCAGAAGTCATTCTAATATAATTCTGATTTAATTCTCAAGGAACATTTCTCATTATTATCAATCTCGATAAAACAGTTGTGCTGCTAAATATTTTTGTGGAAACGTGATGCATTTTTCAGGATTCTTTAATAAATAGAAAGCTCAAAAGAACAGCTTTTACTTGAAATTAATTTGATTCATAATTCAAAATTCTAGTTTATTAACGTTTATTAAATAAATCTGACTCCAAACTTTATTTGCATAGGGAAAAACTGGCTGAATTACAGTAGATGTGTCATCCGGTTACGCTCTTATAACTGTCATTCTCTTCTTTGTCCAGATTCTGACTTTCATTTTGCATACTATGGTACGAGGCTTCATTCACTCGTGTTGTGGAGGCCTGTATGCTGCTGTGTAAGTACACACACACACACACACACACTAAACCTGTTTTTTAAAGACACACACGTTTAGACTTATCCTGCTCTTATAATATCTAAAGGTTATAAAATTGCACTTGGCAGGATCAGGTTTACCCTATTTGTGTGTTAAGTAGGTATAGCATTGAGTATGTACTCTCTCTCTCTCTCTCTTGCAGGTACCCATCCAATCATTTTGGCACACTCACCGGGCTGCAGTCTATGATCAGTGCTGTGCTGGCTCTACTGCAGCAGCCCCTCTTCATGATCATGTTGGGACCTCTGAATGGAGATGCTTACTGGGTAAGACATGCAGTTTTTACATGCTATATTTAAGAATTTTCTAGAATCAGAAGATCCATAGCTCAAATCCAAAATGAAGTGAGATGCCTACCAAGACCACGTTAAAGGCATCATGGACCCGTTCCAAAAAGTAATAAGAAAATAAGTTGCTTGTATTGGAAGACTAGTTTAATCCTTTGTGGTGAGGCAGGGCAAACCCAGAATGCATTGTGACACGCTTTGTGAAAGAAAAAATCTCAGTTAGGAGAAAAAAAAAATATTACTCTTATTTTTTCTTTAGTGTAGGCTGTAGACAGCAAGGCTTGTGTTTAGGGGTATTTTCAGTGACAAATAACGGTAAATGTATTCTCTTTCAATCCCATCAGATCAACGTGGGGCTTCTGATCTTCTCACTGTCCGGTTTCCTGTTGCCGGGATACTTGTTCTTCCATCGCAAACAACTTCGTGAGAAAAGGGCTGAAGGAAAAGCTAACGGGCACATTCCTGTCGAGGATCAAGCTGTAAACCAGCCTCTGACCAACGGACACAGCAACGGTCACGTCCCGCAGGAAGCTTAACTCAATAACGGAGCGTCGCAGGACTTTACACATTTCAGCCGCATCGACTCTGCCATTCCCAACATCCTCATTTAACACGCAACTTTTTCATTTTTTGTTGTATGCGAGACATGTGGTTGACGCTTGCAAGAGCAGATGTCAGATCAGTATTGTCTTGTTCAGTGATCTGTATTAAAAATCTCAAAATCTGCCTGTGAAAAGTATGCAATGCTTTCACAAGTTTTTAGAGGAATATTTATTGAACTGCGCACACGTTGGCTGTGATTCACGGACATGAACTACCTCAGCCAACCGCTGGACTCTCAGAGGGAACGGTTTCTGCCTGTTCAGCGTCTGCTCTCCTTCACAGAAGAGAAAGAGTGTTGATTATTGTGTGTATTATTGTGCCTGTTTTTCTGTCTATGATTGAAAACTTGAGAGACAATCAACACAAGCATTTCAGCGAACACCAAAGATACTGCTTTTTAAAGTGTATCACTTTATTCTCCTCTTTTAGTTTCACTACATTATGTGTTATCCCAAAGCAAAAACATTTCAGGCAGATTTAACAAGGTTTTTTTTATAAAGCAACAGAAATGAATTTTTTGTGTTATTAGCTTTTTTCCCTCTGTGTATTTCATTGAAAGGGAATTATATTTTTGTATTTCTGTTATTGTGATATTGTTTCTCTTTTAATGCGTATGACATGATGCAAGTAGATGTGCTTTGTATATAATAGAACATGCATTCGTGATATTTGCGTAAACTTGTGGGGTGGGTTGATTGGGTGTTTTTTAAAAGTTAGGAACTAATGGCATGCTTACAGCAGTGTCTTTCAAATGTCAATATGACTTCTTGTTTATTTGTGTGAAAATAGTGCCTTCTGTTATTATTTAAAGTCATCATTTAAATCTCAATTTTAGAGATGTGGGAAACCAAAGCCATTGGATCTTACTGGACATGGAAGTGTCAAAGCCATATGGGATTATTGGAGATGCAGATGTGTGAGAGGAAGAGAGTATCCATGTACCGAGTGCAAGAATGTCAAATTTGAAATACCAAAAACATTAAAAAAAGGAATATTGTGAATGGTTTCCTTGAGTCTTCAATCTAAGATTCCTATTGTCTTCATGGAGCATGTCTCCATCTAGTGGTTCCTGCAATATTTTAGGCAGTGTTATTATTTATATACTGCTATTTATTTAAGCAATGAGCGGCTGACAACAGTGCTGTATCGTGAATAAGTAACGGCTGAAGGGCGCAACGGGAAGCGGAGTGTTTATTGTGTGGTAAAAGCAAAACTGTTTAAAGGGTAACTAAACCCTAAACCAACTTTAAAAAAAAAAATTAATGATCTGTAAGAATTGGGCTTTTTTAATGCTGATCATTGATTCGAGTAACTTTTTTAATATAGAGCAACTCTCATGAATGAATCACTAAAAGCCTTCCTTCCGCTAAAAAAATAGTCCCTAACCGTGAACAGCAACAACGTTCCAATGTGTGTAATATGCAAGAAAACTCAAATAAAACTAACATGAACTGCAGTGTTGCGGAGTGATGCATAGAACCGTTGGGTGATGTCATGGCTGTGTTTTATCAAATATCCTTCTTCGTTTTATGGGTTTTAACATGAATAAAGCACAGCTATTGACCAACCATAATCAAGGATTGGAACTAACCGTTCTAATATATTCTATTTTTGTATTATAATATTAGAGTGTGTTTACATTACAAATTACAGAAATAATATAATGCTTGGACAAAAAAAAGTTGCTGCTTGGATTTAAATGAGCAAATGCTGATTGGGTCAAAATTGCAGTGATTATGATGTTAGGAAGACAATAAGACCATAGACTGTAAAAAATAGAGTAGGACACCCCTTGGCCATACTCCAGGATGACAATGTCAAGACTCTTCAGGCTCAAATTGTGAAAGAATGGTTGTGAGGAGCAAGAAATGATTGTCACACAGGAATTGGCTCCTCTAATTAAACCAGACCTTAAATTCACTGAAAGTCTACTTTGGGTGCTGGAGGAGACTTACAGAGCATTGGACGCATTGTCAATACAAGATCTGGATCAAAAATTGATGCACCTCTTGATGTTGCTAGTAAACGCCCATTTCCAAACAGCAATCTTTTTTTTTTTTTTGGGGGGGGGGGGGGGGGGGGGACAGTGCTGTGAAATATATATATATATATATATATATATATATATAAACAAATTCGAATTCATATATGTTCTATATAAATATTATGTTCTGTCATAACAAGGTGAAAATTTAAGGCCGTATTTCTTATACGCAAAGGCAAATCCTCCAATACCATTCCAGGGGTCAGGCTATATTATATGCCATTTTGCACTAATTTTGGAGCAGCTTATGAACAGACAATAAAAGTTACTCAGACAATTCAAATCGTTTTGCTAGATAAATCCAGCATAATTGATAAATAGGCTTTAAAGTTTATGTCACTTTGTTTTATCTATTCAAATCACGTCAGAAATAATAGCAAAGACTGTCATAAAAAAGCTGGAAGCGAAGCCTTCAGACACTCCAGCCCAAACTGTAAACTGCCATGCAGTGTTTGTTTAGTCCAGGGTTCCCCAATCTCGGTCCTGGAGCGCCACTGTCCCTGCAGAGATTAGCTCCAACCCTGGTCAAACACACCTGAGCAAGCTAATCAAGGTCTTCAGGATCAGTAGAAATTCACAGGTGTGTTTGATCAGGGTTGGAGCAAAACTCTGCAGGGACAGTGGCCCTCCAGGAGCGAGTTAGTCTGTCATGTCACAAGGTGCGATTTTTTAAAGTAACGTTTGATTTGATCAGTTTTACTCTCTGTAAATGCTTCCTGTCAGCTTACTTTGACGACCTGCAGCCAGGCACAACTACTACTCAAATATGTGGCTCTGCACTGAGCAGCACCACTTGGGAAATGTTGTCCCGGTCCGGTGGTCATCGTCCTTACTTTTTATTTGGCAAGTCTCTCTCTCTCTCTCTCTTTCTCTCACACACACACACACACACACACTTTTGGCTTATTGTTGCTGTTTTTTGTCCAACACTGCCCTCTCCTGACTGAATAATGTGTGACTGTTTTGATGTTTTTTAAGTGGTTTTAGATTAGAGCTGTTTAGAGCTAAACTAATTATTCTAAATGTGTTATTTTTTTCTACTGCCTATCATGCTGTGAAAACAAATTCATTGAAGACATGTGTAAAGAACAAAGTTTATTCATTCAGATTTTCTTTATATTCAGAAAAAAAATGGCAGACATCTTCAACAATCAAGTCTTTGTAAGCATCAGTCAAACACACTGGTCCATATCAGGGTCTCTAACACTGTTCAACATGCTTTCATACGCCACACGCACACACACACACACACCACACACACACACCACACACACACACACACACACACACACACACACACACACACACGTTCTATCTCAGGCTGTTGCTGTTGGTTTGAGATCCAGTAAGACCAGGATGATCAGAACTGTGTCGATTCTGAGAAAAAGAGGGAAAGCAGATGTTTTAAAATCATGCACAGAACATATTGGGATCTACAAATGAGACTGTTCAAGTCAGTTTGCATGGCTAGCAAGATTCTAGCAAAATATTCTCCAGCGTATGGATGTGGTTTGGCTGGCATTCCCCCCCCCAAATGTTATTGATATCGAAGGTTTATGTATTTATGCATAATATCGTATTTTATATATAGTATTATTTATATACTATTAAAAGCATATACATTAAATATTTATTCACGTTTTAATGTATTTATATTATTTTTAGTATGTTTATTTTGTTTTATTTTTAATTTGGTTTTAATTTTAGTACTTAAACCTTTATTTGTTTGTTGTTTTATCTAATTTTTATATCCTTATTTCTCATTTTATTTTTAGATTTTTAATCTAATATTTTTACTTTAGCTTTACAACCATTAATGGAAACATTTGTAGTTGTTAGTTAACAGTAACACTTATTATATTTTATATATATATATAAAATCACTTAATCTTTACAAAGCTGTAACAAATATGTACAATCAGAAAGTGCATTTACACATTGATTAAACTGGCAGAATTAAAGCTAAATATACACATTATGAATATAAATGAACAAATGAAAATATGAAATGACAAAATCTGCAACTTTAAATTATGAAATAAATACTCTTGCATGACAAGGGAAAAGTTTAAGGCTGCATCTCATTTACACAGAAGCTAAGCCGCCTCCAAAGTTTGTATTTATACATGAATTACTACTGTATTTATTTATAAAAAAAAAAATATATAGTCTGTCCTAGACCAAATCTTGCTCAAAAGTACTTTGCCAGCTGGACTGTTGTAAGCTTTTCCTGACGTTCTGCTCAATCTCATACCTTTTTTTTCTTTTTGTCTTTCTTTTTCTTCTTGCGATCAGGGTCATCATCCCTCTTTTTCTTTTTCTTCTTGGGATCTAATTCTGAAGGGGTTTCTGCACAGGAAAACACAGGTTAAGGCCAAGTTAATTCATGCACGTATGCGCAGAGACTATCAGCATGTTAAAATTTCTCGGGGTTAGTACATCACCTGGTGGTAGAGGATCCTGCGGTCGATGATGTCTGTGTT